TTAATGAACACATCAACAATTCTTAGGCAGAAGTCTCTCTGTGTGCTTGCGTCTTGTAGCAGGAACCTCAGGATCTTACTTCTAGTGTTATTGTTTGGATTGCTCTTTATGTGATGCAGCAGAGAATATTCTTGAGGTGTGGGATTCTAAGCAGTCGGTTCTTTCTTTGCGGCTTCTCTCCCTCCGCCTTCTAAGCCAGTTCCTTAAGGTTTGCTTTTCAGCAAGTATATTCTCTCTAAGTCCTAAAGCCGCTCACAGATATACATTTTGCTGCATTGGGCTGTGTGCTGAGAATTTTTATTAGCTGCTGCTTCTCCTTTTTTTTTTTTTTTTTTTTGGGTGCTGCTGGAGTGTGGTGGAAATACAAATGGAGCCGAAAAGCTGGAATTAATGCGCAGATACAGCGAGCATCTCAATGAACGGTCCTCAGCCAGTTGGGCTGCGAATCCTTAGCGAACTTGGCAACAACAGGGTTGAAAGTTTGCTACGTCAAACCTTGAAGGCGTAATTCCACTCTGCTTGGTTAGCATTAACCCTTTACGGCTTGCTTGGAAAAGGAGAGCGGAGTGATGTTAGGAGATGATGGCCCATTAAAGAAAAAGAGCTTTCCTTAAGAGATTTGGCTGAATTCCAAGACAGGAAAGTGCACGCCAAAATTACTCTGGGCCAGGAGAAAATGTTCTATTTCAGCTGCATCAGAAAATGCCTAGCGAGGGTGAGACTATTTGTCAATCAACCCCGCTACCGACAATGGCTTTTCAGTTTCTCATGCAGAAATGGATCCCATCATCTGCTGTTTACTTGGAAATGTATGCCAGAGGTTGAACTGCAGACTATCTGTATGTGCTCCAACCTGAAGCGAAGGAGATTATATTTCAGGATGGAGATAAAGTATCAAAGGGAGAGGGAGGGAGGGAGGGAGGGAGAAAGACGGAGGGGAGAGAGGAAGGGAGGGAGGGACAGAGAGAGAGAGAAAGAGGGAGAGAGACGGAGGGAGGGAGGAACAAAGAGAGAGAGGGACAGACAGAGAGAGAGACAGAGACAGAGACAGAAAGAGGGAGAGAGACGGAAGGAGGGAGAGAGAAAAAGAGGGAGAGAGACGGAGGGTGGGAGGGACAAAGAGAGAGAGAGAGAGGGACAGAAATGGACACAGAGAGAGAGAGGCAGAGACAGAAATAGGGAGAGAGACGGAGGGAGGGAGGGAGAGAGAGAGAGAGATCACACGTCTCCCTTGTAAAAAATATCCTTCTTTTCAAGACATGGTTTGAATTTAGTTAACACACTAATGTTAAAATAGATGACCAGGTACACTGCTTGTCTTTTGTCCAAGCAATTGTGTATGTGAGTGTGCATTTTTCCAATGCTTTCTTTTTAAAAGGGTCAGAAATGTTTATATCAGGGTGTCCAACCTTGGCAGCTTTAAAACTTGAGGACCTTGTGGCACAAGGATCCAGGCCCATACCGTGTTGTTGCAGTGCCTATTTACCAGAATCTGACCAGACTGACCGCATTCTCTTGGGCACGGTCAGATAAGGCTTCAGGTTCTCTGCAGGAGGTAAGACCTGTGCTGTTTCCTGCTAGGCAAGGACTCTAAGCTGAGCTGCCTCTTCACATACACACCCCACTCCAGCTGGAGACTCCACCCCAAAGACAGAGACTTCCTTGAGTTGAGCTTTGACTCTTGGTGACTTTATGGACCCATCCAAGTTGTTTTCATTGCTAGAGTTTATGGAAAGGCACCTTCTGGGATGATTTTTTGTTCTAGTTTCCCAGCCCAGTTTACACTTATTGGGTTTCTATGCAAGTATGAACCAGGTCTGATCTTCCGTCGCTATTCTGGATCAAGTGAGGTTGCTTAGGTTCTGCCCCTCGCTGTGAATATAGGCATCCGGAGATCTGCAAAGAATCTGTACTAATTCAAGAAGAAATTGACTAAAACATTGGACAGGAAGGAGTGAGAATCTGTAAACTTAATTGTGGAGTTGATACCTGGATATCTCACATTGGGCAGGGTTGAAAGCCCCATGCCTTTTAGCGCTGGCATCGGGAAGGGGTGTGTGGAAATGCTGACTTCACAAACACGGGTTTAATTTATTTCACATTGTAACTTGTTTGCCTCCAGCTGTTTTTTTTCTGACAGGCACAGCAACAGCAGTAAGAAATGCCAACTGACACGGTAGTCTGTTGAAAGTTGAACTTCGACTTGTTAAAAGAAGTGGGGGGGGGAGGAGAAGGGGGAGCCGCTGGGATTAAAAACAACCCTTTAAAATGTCATTTCACAAACGTCTGCAGCTTGTTACAGGAAACAGGAGGCATTTCGTAGAGGAGAGTGAACAAATGGCAACTCTTCTGTTCTCTAGGCAAATTTACGGAGTGCGGGTTTCACGCAGTCCTCCCCAGGAAACTTGGAAAATGCGACTTGAATATTGATCATCATTTCTTAGGACTCTTGATGCCTCTGTGTCAGCCCTTTGAGGTCGCCCAGACAAAAAACCAAAACCAGGAATGCTAACCCAAATCTGATCTTGCAAAGTCTTCATGCCTTTTGGGGTAGTCCTCGGCTTAACAACAGTTCATTTAGTGACTGTTCGAAGTTACAAGGGCATTGAAAAAAGTGACTTTGGATCGTTTTTCACACTTAACGACTGTTGCAGCATCCCCCTGGTCACGTGATCAAAATTCAGACGCTCGGCAACATTTATTGCGGTGTCCCAGGGTTACGTGATCCCCTTTTGTGACCTTCTGGCAAGCAAAGCCAGATTCACTTAACAACCATGTTACTAACTTAATAAAGGGAGTGATTCACTTAGCAACAGAAACTTTGGGCTCAGTTGTGGTTGTAAGTCGAGGACTACCTGAATTAAGGAGAAAGGGGCAAAGAGCAATGTATATCCAATAAGTTAATCCCCCCCCACCCCGATCCCTCACCCCAGATTTTGTTTCAACCAAATCCTGGAGCAGAAGAAATATCCTAGGTTCTGGCTTGTTAAATCCACCAGAAAAGTGTGACTGAGCTTCTTGGGCAGGAACTCTTTGTTTCCGATATGAAACGAAACACATTTCATGCATCCCTTTAATAACCTTCTCGTCTTCTTTTGTCTCCTGACCTTAGATCAGAGTGAAGGATTCCACTGTCGAGAAGAGTGTCGGATCCTTGGCCATTCTGACCGATGCTGGATGCCCCGGAATCCTGCCCCCGCCCGGGCCAAATCTCCTGAACATGGAAGGAACGTCATGTCCCTCTCTATAGGAGCTTCCAGTGTGGATACAGAGCTTTACGAAGACTCTAGCGCAAAGAGAACTTTTGCCACTTTTGGCAAAGACAGGAGTGAACCCGTTTCTGAGGAGCGGGGGCCAGTCACTGTCAAAGGTAAAAGGACATTGGATCCACCCATCTGTAGCCCAAAGGTGAACGGGGCCGTCCGGGAGGCTGGGAACGGTTGTGAAGCTATCAGTCCCATCACCTCGCCCGTCCATTTGAAGAGCCCCTCGTCCAGCAAAGCGTTGGTGTCCTACAGCATATTTCACTGCCCGTCCAGTCGCGACTTAGAGCCGTTTGTAACCAACGGTCCCTCCAGGCCTATGGAAGCAGAGCCGAGGGGCTCAGACAGTGAGACCACAGTGCATGAAATTAACCCTCTTCTACAAGAATGTAGGGAGAAAGACTCACCCGGCGTGAAGAGGCTAAAGGATATTGTACTCTAAGCGGTCCCGCGGATGGAACAAACCCAACGCATCCGTCACCAAACACGACTCACCGTTTTTAAGAGCTTACTGACAGTTCACCAGGCAAACGTTGCTGTATTTAGAAGCTTTCCTTCAATGTATTGTTTATAAAAATGAAGCGGTCGTTAATGTGACAATCTCATATGGTTCATCAGGGGGCTAGTGAAGCAAAATGAACACCATTTTTATTTTCATTTTACCCTATTTCCTCTCTAGCCTGGTAAGTGACGTAGGGCCCTTTGGGTTGACGGAAGTATTATCCATAAAGTATTTGGAATTCCTGGTGGTTTTTTTTTTCCAGATCAAGCAACCTTGGCAAGAAATGGGTTGACAATTGGGTCTCCGGCGAATTTTGGGGGGAAAAGCCCTCCGATTCTGTCTTAGGAGATCTGTAATGTGGTGCCCTTGATTTAGATGGGGGCAGCTGCGTACTAGGAACTTGGCTGTGCTTATTCAGGACTTCTCGATGTGGGCAAAGTGCCTCCCCCTCATTAGGGTTCAGTGTGAAAACAAACCAACAAAACCATTTGTAGTCGATACCCAATCCTATGGAGCTCCTGATCTGCCCTGTATCCAGAGTGAATTCATATTCTAAGATGGTGCTCTTTTGCTATGAATCTCCCTTCGATCTGGAGAGCTTTCTGCTACCCCATGCTTCTCTGTACTATTATCGTATTTGATATCGCAAAATCCTGTGTGTCGAGTGTTGGGGGGGGGAAGGCTTTTCAAGTTTTTGGGTTCTTTTTTTTGTTGTTGTAATTGTGGTTGTGGTTGTGTTCTATGAACAACAATCTAAGACTTGGGGAACCTGCAGAAATTTTAAGAGTCCCAGTTTCTGATCATTTGGCCAGGTGAATTTTCCGACATTCTTTTCTTTCTTGACCACTGTGCAGTTTTTTTCTTCTTCTTTTGTTTCTATACCTTGTTTGCAAAAGATGCAAAGTGCTGAGGTCAACTTCTTTCTTTTCTTTTTTTCTTACAACCACAAGGAAGGATATGATGTTATTTCTCCAAACTTTGATTTCCAGGTGTTGACCTAGCCTATACATTACTCTTTTGGCTTATCTAGAGACCAATGAACTGAGCTTAGAGCTTAATAAGTGAGTCCTATATACCAGTGGTCCCCAATCTTTCTGGCACAGAGACGGGTGAATTTTTCCACAGATCAGGGGTGGGGGTGGGGGTTTCAGTTTCATTCGCTTGCCTATCACTCACCTCTAGCTGTGTAGCCCGGTCCCTAACAGGCCACGGACCAGTACTGGTCCATGATCCAGGGGTTGGGGACCCCTGTTATATACTATAAGGTAAGCATTCATTCCATGAGCATCCTATCCTAAGTAATGCACTAACTTACATGTATTGTCTTGTTTGTATGTAGTGTGGGTAGCCCAGTGGCCCAGATCATTGTACTTCATGTTGGGCTAAAATCTGCCTTGCGGTTTCTCAGAAGTGTGCTTTCCTTGCCAAAGACGCTTCTGTTTTTCTACCATAACTCTCAGGGTGCTTGGGAATTTCCCCTGGTGGTGATTTGATTCAGCTTTCTTGTGGAGATGGTAGAGGGTGTTATTGTTAGTACTGTTGTTTTCTTTTACACCTCCTTCCATCTCTCTGAAGTCCACCTGTTCCAACCATACTTCCTATTTGAGGAATCCAGGGAGAGGATTTCTCTCCTGCCAGCTTCCCTTGAAATTTAAGGTAAGTTAAGGTGTAAGATACCTGATATGCTCTAAAGCAGGGGTCCCCAACCTCCGGTCTGTGGGCCAGCACCGGGCCACGGCATGCCAGCAACCGGTCCGCACAAACAAGCAAAGCCCCATCTGTGGGATGCAGGTAGCACACAAAACCACGCATCCTCCAGTCCGTGGACAAATCTCTCTCCACATAACCGGTCCCTGATGCCCAAAAGGTTGGGGACCTCTGCTCTAAAGATAGTCCTTGATTTACAACCATTCATTGAGTGACTGTTCAAAATTACCACAGCACTGAAAAAAGGGACTTACGACCATTTTTCACACTCATGACCGTTGCAGCATCCCCATGATCACATGATCAAACTTTAGATGGTTGGTTGGCCACTGGTTCCTCTTTATGACGGTTGCAGTGTCCTGGGATCACGTGACCAACTTTTGCCACCTTCTGACAGACAAAGTCAATGGGGAAACCAGATTCGCTTGACAACCGGGTTACTAACTTAACAACTGCAGTGATTCGCTTAGGAACCGTGGCAAGAAAGATGGTAAAATAGGGCGAACCCCCCTTAACAACCGTCTCGCTTAGCAGCAAAAAATTTGGGCTCAATTTTGGTCGTAAGTCGAGGACTACCTGGAGCGAGGTGGTGGTGGAATCTGGCTGGATGCATGCATCCTTCTGCCACTCCGTAATGAAATCTGTGCAAGGACATTTCACGTCACCCATGGAAGTTCTCCAAAATTCTCCTTGCCTTTGGAAGAAATGTGGAAATCAAAGTCTTTTTCATCAAGCTGAAGGAGAACTGGTAGTAAAAAAAATAATAATAAATCAGATTCCTATCTCTGTCTGGAGCTAATTGTACCACTGGCATTCTAACAAGGAAGGAAGGGGTAGCGAGTTCAAGTTGGCTACATGGACCAGACTGTTATAGTTTTTGCAGGTGTTTGTACCTACTCTTCCCACACCAACTTCTCACAGTTCTAGTCGTACGGGCCCCGTTCAGTTGGTCAGCCATAGTGGAGGCAGATGGGAGGGCTAAATTACTTTCTCATAAGCATTGTTCTAATTACCCATGAAAAGTTCCCTTTGGCTTCTTTCCCTAGCTGTATTAAAAAAAAGAGAAAGTTCTCCAGATTTATTTAATTTTTTTAAAAAGCTACAAAAAATAACATCCATTTCTCTCCCCCCTCCCTTTTTTTTTTTTTGGTCCTGGAAATCAAATAAGCTTGGAGTAATTTCTTTTCTTTAGAAAAGAAGAAAAGGGAAAAAGAGTCAAAAAATAGATAAAACTGGGTATTCTGCTTTGCCTTGTGCGTCTCAGGCTGTCAGGAAATTTGTTTTGCCTGGTTATTTGAATTTTTTTTAAATAAATCAGTAATAAGAATCGCGTCCCCTTTAATTGTTGTAGGTAGCCTATGACTGCAGCAGAAGCATAAAGAAATGTTATCCATGGATACATTTGGAATAAAAAGGCCCCTGGCATCTGCCACCTTATTTTATTTTGTTTTATTTCATTGCATAGCATTGCACAAAGAAATAGGAACGATATTGACATCATAAAGGTCAAAAGAAAAATGTGCCTGAAGGAAAAACATGTGGAACAGGGCAAAACGTCAACCAGAAGTTGAGAATCCAGAAGAGATATTCCACATCTAATCAAGGAGAGAAGCAACCTAGAATGAAGGAGAAATTTCCTGACTGTTAGAACAATTAACCAGTGGAACGACTTGCCTCCAGAAGCGGTGAATGCTCCAACACTGGAAGTTTTTAAGAAGAGATCGGACAGCCATTTGTCTGAAATGGTATAGGGTTTCCTGCTGAGCGGGGTTGGGCTAGAAGACCTCCAAGGTCCCTTCCAATTCTGTTATTCTGTTATCTCATTAAATATTGTAGAGATAGAGGGAGTGCAGGGGTTCTTTTGAAGTGGTGGCACAATTTGCAACCGTTGGATTTTTTTTTAGATTTTTTTTAAAAACCCCAGCTTTATCATTTCTATAAATAACTCAAGATAGCGAACATACCTAATTCTCACTGTGTGTTCTTTGTGTGAAAAAGGAGAGGGGAAATGGCAGAACATTAGTGGAAGCAATGAAAATCAAGTTCCAATGTATGGAACTTGGTAACTTATTTTTCCATCTACTCTAACAAGCATTCTTCAGCCTGGTTGGCATTTCAGATCCGGCAACTTGTACCCAGCATGGAAGTTTGACGGATGGATATAGCAGAGTGGAAATAATTCCACCCTGAATGTTACAGAAAATTGGTATGCAAGCGTCCTAGAAACTTCTTCCTGCTTCTGATTTCACCTCTTCAAAGTGATGTATTTGTTCTCCTTTTGAAGAGTCTGTCAGTCAAAGCGCCTGGCCCTGATTCAATTCTTTGCAAGCCTAGTTCCATGCTTAAAGCTGATTGGAACAGCTGCCTGTAACAATGCCAGTTTATTCTAGGAAATGAGAGGAGGGAGAGACACATTTCGGTGTCCTTATCTGTGAACAAGTGGGTGATTTTGGATGGCACCAATCATTTGACTGGGTTCACACTCTTACTGCAATAAGGAAGCAAAGATTTTTATGCACATTCCAATATAGCTTTCCTCCCCCCACAGTGTCGGGTTGAATATGCAGAAATTTAGGGAATGGCTTTCTAAAGAGTCAGATTATTGCTTTATGCTTTCCGCGTTTCCTATACTGATTAAGTGTGACTTTCTAGGCATAGGTGTCTGATAGACACCACAATGATGTAATCATCAAGTGAATAATCTCTGTAATTTGCACAGTGTCATTATGAAAGAGAGGTCCCTTGCTCTCCTCTTCCTTATCTCCGTGCTTTCAGGCATTTCCCCCCCTGAAAATATCTTGAGGTTGAACCCAGGACCTCTTCCATGCAAAATACAGTCTTGACCTTCCAATGGGTTTTCACCGGTTGGCTTTCTATATCACGTCGTTCTATAATGTTTTGTTTTCAGCTTAGAAAGTAAAGCAAAGCCAACTGTTGTCATTGCCAAACATGGTTTGTGGCTTTTGCACAGTGTGAGAACCTGGCCCCATTTAAGCAAACTATGTTTCAGCACCATTTTTGTCCACCTTGTTGGTTAAATGACGTTTGTAGGGTCTGTGAATTAGACCGAATCCTGAAGGGTCCTTGATGCTCTCTGAGCTTAATTGTTTTCTTGCAGACATTTCATTACCCAAACTAAGTAACATCATCAATGCATTGAGAACTGGTTTAATTTCATTACCTAGTTTGGGTAATGAAACGTCTGCAAGAAAACAACCAAGCTCAGAAAGCAC